GTTAGTGTGTCCTTGAAGCAATTCCACGCAATTCCTGCTGAATCTAAATCTAGCCATTCGCGATTGATCGATCATATTCCATTTGATTATTTTGTAAATTCTTAATGTGCACATATAGAATAAAGTTATTTGCAAAATCGAGAGATCTCCGAAAATTATGTTCGTAGATATGTATATAAGAAATAAAATAGCTTAGATATAGTTATATAGTTATTATAAATACATTTGAATAAGCAGTTCTTCAGTGCAGTTGCATTACATGAGACAGTACAATTAAAAATACTTGACTGTATTACCTTTTCCAAGAGGATAATTTCTTGGAACATGCATACAATCAATACAATATTTACATACAATATTCACGATAATCTTGTCATTCAGCTTTTTCCGAAGATTTAAATTACACGGTGACAAACAAGTTACAAAAAACAGACTCATCCTTTTTTTACTCATTTTTATATTTATATTTACAATAGGAATACATTACCTTTATATGCAATCTTCATCATAAAACAGTAGTTGATTCGAATATTAATATAATTATTGTGCTTTGCAATGTTATTATTTATATTCATATTAATAAATGAATAGAATTCATAATAGAAATGTGTCATTTAGAGCAATCAACATAAATAAAATATTAGAATAATCAATTTAGAGGAAATAAAAAACATCTCTGATTCATCAAATCGTTGATTATATAATAATTCTTATTACATATTGTAATTTATGTATTAGAAAAATAAATATTAAAACTAGAAATCTTAAGCATAGCAATCGCGAAAAAATTTTGAAAAACAAGAGCATACATATTACTAAAATAATATAATCGTATAGAAAAATTTGTAAATAAAGTAACGATGATAATAAAGTATGAAAAATTATATATATTAATAAAATTATATAAACATTTAAAAAAATATAAAAATTATATAAAATTATATATATTAGTTGCACAGAGATGAGATCACCAATTAATTATAAAGATTGTAATTTTTAATCTTCAGCCATGATAAGTATATAACAAATTTCTTATAATAAAAATCGATTTGCAATTTGTGCAAAACAATTAAATTACTAAGAAGACGGTAAGCGAAGTAATATTTCTACGACGACAAAAAGATATTTTTCTTTTTTAATAATTCTTTTTATAATAATTCTGACACTTAGCTTTTAACTAAAGAGAATACACTTGATTAAAATAAGATTAATAGTGAGTAATAAGATTAATAGTGAGAAAGATAATATTAGGCATCGAAGATAAATATTAATTATAATTTTTTTATTTTATATATCTTATTGTCAGTCTGCGTATCATCGAGATCTTTTTTATTTTTCTGTCATTGTCAGCGAAGGTTCATTTGCATGAAAAGGAAGGATTTTAAAATGACATCATTACAATACAGTAATAAATGAATAGTTTCTCAAGAATTGCTAGTAAATTCTTTGCTTATGTTTCTCGTTCATTTTTTTATTCTTAATATTCCGCGTTTCATTGTTTATAGACGATTATATACTCGGGAAATATAATTCACACGCAAATATTTTGAAAACGGAACAAGCCACGTCGTTTCCTCTGTACATAAATACTATGCTCCGGTGGAGTTTCGCATGCGAAATCGTGCCGGCCGAGGTTCTCAGGATAAACATAGCGAAGAGGATATATGCATAGAAAATGCGCAGAAAATCGCGGTTGTCGCGCGCAACCTGGAACCAAAGGAGAAACAGGATTTGGCAATCTTCGGGGTTTTCGCGAGAAAGCGTGCGAATATCGCGAACTCGCGCTGTCTCTGTCGCATCCGTTCGTCTCTGTATTTCAGACAATGCGCGAATTAATGTCCGCGAATTAATCTCTCCGTTTTGTAACTCGCGCTTCTGCAAGGTGCGAGCGAATTAGAACATATTTTTGCTTCCTTTTTCCAAGCGCCCAGGCTTCGTTATTGCACAATCGATGCGTTGCAATTAATACCGTTGCACAGATTTACCGAGAGATATCGAAACTTATGTATTATATATGTTTTCCCGATTTATATTACTGATATAATTGTAATTTATTCGAAAAATTTATGTAATCTTCTCCTTGTGTGTAACGCGTTATGTATTAAATTATATAAATTTAATAGAGTTCTATATTTCTCTTTTCATACTCCATTTTACGTTAACACGTTTCCAAGATTTTTCCTGCAATGAAATATATAAAGGAATATTTGGAAATTTTTCTTTTTTTACATCGTATCATGATATCTCCTCTTGGAGTATAAGCATCAAGATGAAAGTTACGACAACGACTGCTACCTCTGACCTTATGTGCGCAGTTGCATCGCGAGATGAAACAATACTTGTGCCGCAGGTACGTTTAACTTGCGGATATACATTTTCCTCCTAATGCCGTCTAGAAAGTATATTTCTCTCGGTCTTTCACATCGCGGCTCGATATCGCCGTGGGATTTCTTCTTATTATGCCAGATATATTATCGTCTATCTTCGAGAATGATTAATTAATCCGTCAGAAATATACTACAATCAACAATTATAATGTAAGTCAATGCACTTGAGATTATATCTTTCCTAAAAATATTTTTTATCATAATTTAGATCTTCTATGCAATATTCACAGTTCTAAGAACGTTAAAAGTCAATGACCATTAAAGTTTAAAAGAATAGCTTAGATCACACATTTTATTAAATTCGCGCGTATATATTTATAATTCTGAGGAATCCTAAATGTCTTTTTTTTTATCAATATTTTTTGACTTTTTAAGATTATTTTTTATTGTTTTTTTCTTAAAATTTCTTTTCTTAAAATTAATTATATTATATAAAATTAATTATATTTCAAAAAGTCAAAGATAAATTATAAAAAGATATGTCATACTGTCAAAACTTACTGTCAAAAAAATTAAAAAATGTATTTAAGAGAGAGATGTTTCTTAATATAAAAAATGTATTTAAGAGAGAGATGTTTCTTAATATAAAAAACCAAAAATCGAGAATTTAAATAGCTGATCTTTGCACGAAGTGATTTTTTTTAGATTGATAAACATGAAACTCATAATTTAATAAAAAAAAATGTTATGCAACAAGTCAATCTCTAGTACAGGGGAGATCGGAAGTTGATCTTTTTTTTAGAAACGAGAGATGGGAAATATTAATGCACATGTGAAGATGTGTTCGAAGACGACCGTCTGACTCGTGACGTTCGATTTCACTGCGACGTGTGTTCCGGTATCATCAGAACACGATTCCGTTTCTTCTATTACGTGAGACCGATAATGCGCTGCGAATATTCTGCGAGTCTCTATGTTTCCATCGTATAATGCATTTAATAAAGCAGTAACGTCACAAGGTATTCATTTCGAATTTGAATCAAAATTGAATCACAGTCGAGATTGACAAACTGACATCAATTTCTATAAGAATATGAATGTCAATAAGTGCAACGTCTTTTTTACAGTTGTTTGTAACGTATGTTACTTTGCATGTTATTTGTATCTTCACAGAATGAGGGAATGAAAGATGGAGATACTTTAAATACCAAATGTGTTTGAAAAATGGAGACTAATAGTAATAGACATATTTTCCTTTCGAAGAAAATTGTTTTTTCAATTTCTCGCAGTTTTGAAATTTTCATTAGTACCTTTTTCGTTTTATCATAATTTATTATTATTATTATTATTATTATATTATTTTACTATAATTTTATTATGTGATTATTGTAGCGGAAAAATAAAGTCGAACTCGATCACTACTGGATTAGAAAATGATTCTTCAAGACCACAATTTAGACCACTTTCTCGTGCCACGAGAAGAAAAATTTAGTCAATTTCAGAAAGAATTTCACAAGCGATTTTAACGAAGAATACATGTGAAATTTCGTCGTTCAGTTTTGTCTCTTAATTTTTGTACGGGACAAAAATCAACAAAATATTGCAGTTGAACGTACAATTCTCCATTAATAGCGGCTTCTTTAAATCAAATATCATGGATTTTTAGCAAACTTTTATTGACATTCTTTCTGAAAATTCTTCAGTTCTCTTATGTCGAGATTAATGCGAATATAGAATGAACGTAACGCGTGTATTGGCAGACATAATGGATTGTTTGAGAAGATATTCTAGATACCACGGGTCTTTTGGAACTAAAGAGAGTATTACAGAGAAGAGTATTGACTCTTTGTAAATGTTCTTTCGCACCTACGCGCATTGCTTATTCGACTAAACATATCTTTTACAACACGCTTTAACTTTATTATTAGGAATCTCTTTCCTACTACATAAAGTCAAAAGTTTTTTTAGTCTTTATCGCATAATAATGGACATTGAAATAACACTGAGAAGAATATTGTGTTTGATAATAAATTAACTTTTAATTTTGATTGTTATTATACAAGAATTTAATCATCATTTCTTTGAGTTATGGTTGTGTATATCGTAACTTTTTGTATTAAATATCTCAATACAAACGAGATAGAAATTTAATTTCAGTTGAAGTAACATTGTTTCGAAATATTAATTCATAAACAGCAAATATTATTATTTATTTATTTATTTTCACATTAAGATTAATCAGGTTAACTTATAAACTTCATAATAATAATCAATTGTTGACAATGCATAATAATTAAAACAATTTTAATATTTCAATTTCAATGACATTGTCAATCTTGTTTTAAATATCTCAATACAAACGAGGTAGAAATTTAATTTCAGTTGAAGTAACATTATTTCGAAATATTAATTCATACAACAGCAAATGCTATTATTTATTTTTACTTCAAGATTAATCAGGCTAATTTATAAATTTCATGAAATAATAAAAATCAATTGTTGACAATGAATAATAATTAAAACAATTTTAATATTTCAATTTCAATGACATGCGTCAATCTTATCACTCTACGAATTACGTGTGTACGAGTAACATATTTTAATGGGGAATATTTGTACTATATAACTATCTCTCAAGTGTAATCATCAGTTTCGCACCCCTAGAATCAATACCTCTCGCAGCTCCGCGACGATACACCGATAGTCTATTAAAAAATTCCTCGTTGAGATCCTCCTTTTTACGTATAATTCCGGTTGGACCTCGGCGTAGTTGAGGAACGTGGATGAACAAATGCGATGATCGGCAGCATCAAGATTCATTCACCGGTTGCCAAAAATTTCGCTCACACACTGACACCCGGGTTCAACACCAAGCGCACGTCGAGCCGCCGATTTTCGACTCTGCGCCTCGTGATAGAGGGTTACGAGGAGAGGGACAAGTAATCGGTCGATCGAAGTTCGATCGGTTCTACCGCGGCTTTCGAGTCTTGACGCGAGACTGAGGGCCGACATCGAGTGGGCTTGTGCGGCCGGTAGCATCGTCGCGCGCGTTTGGCATCTCTCTCTCCTTTCCTCGATAGAACTCCTCGAGGCGATCTCTTTTCGACGAACGCTTTCCCTCCGCCTTGCCTTCTTCCACCTGTTGCATTCTACCAGCCGCCATGCGTTCCTCATCCTTTCAATCGACTCCTTGTCGCGCTCTTCGAGCCGATTTTTCCCCCTGACTTCTCGACACAGGGATTTCCAGCTGATTACCAGCTGATCGCCTTTGCCTTTAATTGGTGCGCTGCTCTTTTTTGTGTTCTTTTATTTATTATCTTGAAATTATATGTTTTTGCGAAAAACATTTTTGCTTCTTTCGAAATAGTTCAGAAATTAAATCAAAAGCTCATACAATATATTAATTAATTAATTATTAATAAGATGATTAAGATTGAAGATCTTTCAATATCAGATCATTTTACTGAATTTACAATAGTAGAAATACAATAGTACTTTATAAAAAATTGAATTAGAGAAGAAAAAGTATACTGAAGAATATCTAGCTTTATATCTCTGACAGCACTCGGCTTTATTCACGGATGGTGTGATGGAACCGATTCTATCTTCAAGAAGCCGACTTCCACGCTGTGCAGACGACGCTTTCGCTCATCTCAGCTGTAGTTATCTCTTCCCATTACTTCGCGAAAGGCAGTTCCTCGGCGCAGGTCGAGGCGGAGATCCGTTTTGCAGATCGCTTTCTCCGCTTCATCCGCACTTGTATCAATCGGTTAACTATCGTAGGTTTCCTCTTCTCGGGCAATTTCCATTCGTAATGTCTGACGTAATTTTGCGTTTCTGATTTACATCGGCGAAACTACTTTGGATCATATTTATACTTTTATCACCGTTTTTTGCCTTCTTTTCTTATTCATTACACAGAATACTCTGTAAAGTTTGTATCACATCTCGAAAGAAATATTCTGAGTTTGTTCTAACATCTGAAATCTGATTTCTTTCTCCATTTCTGTCTTTAAAAAAATTAAGTTATTTTTTTCGTAAATCGCACGCAATTTTTTTATCTGATTGCTCAATTTTCGTTTTCAAGATATCCTGCAATTTTTTAACGATTAGCAATCTTCTAGCAATGATCGTAAATTGGTCAGCGTAAATACATATGATCGTTTGTCCTTATTTCCCCGGTCAAGAATTCCTTATTTACCCTACAATTTTTCATTTTGACGTTTCTTCGCCGAGTAATTCAACGACGCGTGATCATGATGTTTAGTATACGAAATTAGCCAGCGAATTGTAAACGACAAGGGCACAAGTCATCGACTTCCTGAGCCCGTTCGCGTACAGCTTAATCGCTTCCGGTAGTTAATTTGGTAAAACACTTGCCATCCTATTGTTATCGTCGATAATAAGATATTGAAGATTCTCCCGATGTCGCTTGACGTTTAAACTTAACGAGGAGTACGTATAAAGCGCACGCTGTGTACACGTGTATCGATATAAATATAATTTCATTCTTTCCCGATTAATTATATAAATCTTTAGAAATCTCCTCAGAAATCCCCAGAACCTTTTAAAAATTAAAAAAATTATCTTAATTCTTCTTCCTTTATGAGAGAAATTCTTTTAGAATAATTTACATACGTTGCGTATAAAATATTTTAGAAAGTATTTAATGCAAAATTGCTCTTGTATAAGATGGATTATGTTTGATTAGATAATAAAAGTTAATGTAATCTAAACAAGATAAGATTGATGGATAGACAGAGAACCTAATTTCTTCCTGTTGGCGTGAAAAATTCTTGCCGCTCATTTATTTAACGGCGAAACAAGGAAACACGATGGAAGGTTAACGACCGTGGAAATCATTTAAATCTCGTGGTTGTGCACACTGCAAATAATATTCCTCAAACTCGTTATAAAACTCGGATAACAAAGCGGCGACGACGTCGCGAAATCTGTCGGGCGTTGAAATGTCATGTCGGAATAAATGGAGAACAATTTTTTACGTGCGCCAGCGTTTTTTTTTTTTCGATATCACAGTATAAATAACCGAGTAAATTTCACGAAGTTTACTATTAATGATCAACAACGCGAAATAATTATACCGATACTTCTTCTTGAGCATCTTCTCATATAATCCGTCTTTGGTAATTCCTCCTTTCTTTCTGAGTAGATTAACGAACATTGTTTAATCAAGAAATTTCATCATTGAAACTTTGCTGCTTCCAATTTATATATTTGTTGTGTCTTATTATCATAATAAAAATACGATGATGAGATTTGAGGAACACGTCATCTCTGTCTGTTATATCTAGCTTTTTGTTAATCTGTCGGGTTACCGAGGTAAAGGAAACATCATGCGTCATATCGTTGCAAAAAATTGCTCTGATGATTCGATACGTATATCGGAATCTTATGAAAGGAATTTTTTGGCAGGTTTGACGACTTGAAATAGTCATGTTCTTTCGTCTTTTTAAATAATTTTTCTTTCCATGCAATTCTTAGTGATAATATTTTGCACGGAAGTGACTTCTTATATATTAAAAAAAATTATAAAAAAACTAATGCAAGTAGGAATTTATAAAAATAAATAATGTATCATTTTATTTTAGCCCAAGCTTTTTTACTTAATTTTCTCATTTTGATTTTATATTAAAATTTTATATTAAAATTAATTGATTATATTAAAATAAATTGATTTAGCAATGAATTATTATGTTTAATGTAATAATATATCTCCTCCGATTTTTATTACAAGTTGAAACGAAAAAACAAAATTATAAGAGACTAATTTATAAGCATTACGTTGCTGTATGCATTCATCGAATCGACTTGTCATATTTGGTGTACAATGACATACCTATCATGCGCTACGAATTGTTTTGCGTTCTCTCTCTTGCTTCAAGAAACATGTCTTCTGGAGAATTTTCGATAAATCTGTATTGCAATAACGCGACATGAGGCAATTAAACTTCACATTGGTCGCTCACATCATTTCTTTCCCATACAAACGTATATATTAATTGAACAGACAGATAATGAACAATCTATTTCCTCACGCATTGATTTTTTATTCGCGATAAGAGTCATTCATCCGAGTCATTCAAATACGATTGTTTTCGCATCGACAATTTTATTTCAGGTCATGAAGTAGCGACCACGATAGCAATGGTCAAGACGGTCTGCACTTTCCCCAACATTGCGCAACGTGGCTACAGCGCCTGACGTAATGTGAACCTGATTAAATAACAGAGTGTTATGAATTTTTTTTCTTTCATATTGTTGAAATTTGCGTGCGTTATGACCCATATACGAAATTATATTATAATATATCGAATGTTTCGAGAAGAAGAAATCGAGTCAATTATCATAATCAATTAGTATCGCTTCTGGACACGTGACTGTCATTATACCGTGTGTCGTTACTGTAATTATTTTATTATATAAATTAGAGTATATGATTAAAAATCCTCGTGGATTATTAAAATACTAATTGTAAGAGATATAAAATCTTTTATTTTTAATAAATGCTTTTTTTTAGATTTTCCCCAAATCGCATCCTGTTTTCACGAAATAATTTACACATAAATTTTACGTAATTCATACGGCAGTGGAAAACAAATTAATTTTCAATTTTATATCTCTTTTGGTAGGGAAGTATAACTAGTGTAACTTTATATCTTAAGAAATCTTGTGCTGGCGTAAGCGAGGAAATTGCTGCTTTTGAGGAATATTCGCTAGTCATTCTTTTTTTAGGTGAATATAATTATACGCGTGCGCAAGGACGTATCGATTGTCGGATATCGTGTGGATTTCCAAACGATAGACATGTATACCAAATAACACACATTAGCGTATTTCGCAGAGTTTGCAATGAATATTTCCAATATCCTGGCAACATTTCAGCGAGAAATTTGTAAAGTCACGACTTCCGGTTGCTTAAATTGAAATATGCACGTGCTGGACCATAGTTTGCAACCGCAAATTTGCAATCGTGTCTCGTAGGAGGATAGGTGCGCCTTCGTAAAATTCACAGCTCGTTCGAATTTTCCAGTCCGAAATAGAGCGACTGGCTATGTGCAAATTACTAATCCTGTGGCATAAGTCTCTAAGAAAATTCTTAACGTCGTCAGCATCGCTAATTAATTAATGAGTTTCTCTGACGATGCGATATCGATCATATTTTTAATCGTTTTTATTCTCTACACAAAATTAAAACATAGCCTGCAAAATTTACATTCGTACGAAACAAAAAAACGTCTTGTTTTTCTGAATTATTTAAAAACTTGTTCTCCGATATAGTAAAGAGGGAAGAAGAGGATATGGAATTCGAAGAAATTATCATAATTATCTCCTTATAATTATTAATAGAAATAAAAAGACAAATTATACAGATATTGGTTACGCCTTGTATGAAACCGAAAGTGGATTGGAACAAGAATCCGAAGATGGATGACTTGTTTGAGAGTGGCAAAATTTTCGTTCAACCTCAAGCCGAACCGTGTCGAATAGTGAAAGCGTTTTATACGACAGTCTCACGTAAATATGTACGTTGTTTCGATATTTTTCGACCCTGAGGCAAAATGCGCGGTAACATTAATTTCTATACATTCGCAAGTTTCCCGATGGTATCCATTCATAATAAGATTTATGCTCTTGTTATCATTCTCGTATAATCATTGTATAATGATCGATTAATTTCTATTAATTTCGCCGGAACAAATAGAACTTGTCTGTTTTAAGAAAAAGTATAAAAGTTTCATTTCCGGAGATTCTAGTAAGAACAGAATGCTGAGAATCGAGAAATCTTTTTACATACGTCGCGTTTCACTTGAAAGTTATGCAAAATGTGTGAATTCTTTACGAAGGTCAGGAATTCACACATTCTTCATTCACTTTATCCTGTGAATAAGAAAGAAAACGTCATATAAATATATATGCTTTTCGTATATTTTTCGCACAGGGAATAAACGGTATTCAAATATTGAATAGTATTAATATAAAGGT